GGGCTTGAATATAAGCGACTTTTTTTACAGCCAGAATAGGTCGACTAGGTCTCGCGTCCGGTAAGAGCGCGCGCGTGTTTATCTTTCTTTGTAGCGCGTGCAAGTTTTCAAATTTGTTCGTTATCATGTTATAATGGTGTGTTATGCTTGTAACGGCCATTCACCCTGATGAAGGCCGTTTAACACGGCCGAAATATAGGTGAGAGACGAAAAACATATTGTTTTACTCTTCACTTGTGGTATTGTATTTATTGAGTTGTGAAGGGAGTGTCTTCTAAAAGATGCTTGTGATAGGTTATATATATATATATATATATACAAATGAAACGGATAGAAGTTAATAGAGTTGGGAGTTGTAACTCAGAGTTTCTTGTTCATTTTAAGCTGAGCTATAGCTGCATGAGTAAAGTAAAATCCATTATCTCCCGCCACAATAAAGCTCAAATTGGCAAACCATTAAATCCACCAGAAGAAATCAAGGACAACTGTAATTGCCGGATCAAGAATTCTTGCCCACTTGAAGGAAATTGTAATGTGCGGAACATTGTCTATCAAGCAGAGGTCGTCACCCCACAGTCAAAAGAAACCAACATCGGATTTGGCAATAGAACATTTAAAGAACGTTACAGAAATCACACATTCTCTTTAAGAAACGAACGATACAAAAATGTAACCGAGCTGACTGACTGACTGGATTTGCAAAAACATGGTTAATGAAATCTCTCTCATATACCTTCTGACTGAGTCTTGTAGTGGAGTATGTTTTTTTTTTCATAGTTACTCTTTATTTATATAGTTTGTACCGAATGTTTACTGAAAAGACTGCAGTATTTAGATTTTGATGAGTTTCTCACGGGTATTAATCTACCACCACCCCCCAAACAAAAGTTTTTCATGACTTCCCATAATTCCCTCTGTATGTCAGTTTGAAATCAGCGCGTGTGTTAGACTGAACTTGGCTCTCATAGTGTGTTATCTTAGAGTTTTTGGCTGCTTTCAGCAAAGTTTTCCGGAAGGCATCATTAAGTCTTATGAGGGAACAATTCTCACGTCCGGCAAAGTCTGCTGCGTCCAGTATCTTCTCGTATTTCGTCTCATTTCGGGCTACACTGGTGAAAGACTGATCCCGGGCTTGCGACAGACAGATTGGGTATAGGCCACTTGCACTAAGAGGTCACGTGCTTCTTTTAAACAATGAGTTGGAATCTTGCTGATGCCAAAAATTGTTAGAGCACACAAAAATTATCTTACACCCGAAATTTGTGAGGAAACGCATTTAAGGGAGATATTTTATGGCACTTTGATTTTTCAGCAAAGTAGTATGATTTGTATTGGCCGCCATGTTGGAGGGCATGCTTTTGCCCTCCAACATGGCGGCCAAAACTATTTCTTGCTCATATCTTGTTCAACGTTTCATATTTACGCTCAGATGTGCTGTAAACGTTATCACATCATCTTTTCAACATTTTCCTTGAAGTTTAAGTGCAAAATTTGTGTTCGGAGAGAGGTAATTCATAATTTTAAAAATCACATTTTGGTCACGTGACCATTTACGAACTTATTCATTTTACGAAAATGGTTCGGGTTTGAAAAACCAAATCACCATTATTTTGTTTAAGATATGACCCACTAATGGTTTTTTGAAGGCAAACTCACATAACTTTCATCTTCATAAAAACGATGTCACATGCCTCTTAGTGCAAATGGCCTATTGCGAGCTTTGTTGTTGACAGTAACATGTCTTTGGCCTCAAAGTGGTGAAAACTATTCCGCGAGATGGAAATTGATACTGATTTCAGACCAGTTCAAAGACTTAGTTAAAAATTGTTTTGAAGGCGGGGGCTCCATGTCTCCTTTTCAACCGCTAGTTTACATCAGGGATCTTGAACAAATCGATTGTGTGAGTCGAGAAAAGTTCCATGTGACGATTTATGTGGAGAAGTGAGAGTTTTACGGAGTAATTTGACGAAGTGTTGTGATTTATTGTGTGATTTACCGAAGGTGTTGACATTTATGTGGTTGAGTTCGTGTTACCAGAAAACTTGCAAGCATAAAAACGCTTCGTGAGTGTTTAGTGTGTGTGATTTTGCCTTAAAAAGCCTATTCTGCGCTCAAAGATTGTGCATTTTAAATCTAGTGTTTTCGGCATAGACTTAGCTATGGGAATGATTTGACTGACTAAAAAGTTATAGTTTCCCGACTTCTCAAACTCGTTCTTTATTTCATCGCAAAATCCTGTTACTTCTGCGAGAGAAATTTACTGTCTGTTTCCAGCAATAAAGCTTTGATTGTTGAGCTTTAGCTAGTGACTTTTCACTGTTTTCCATTCGACTTAGATGTCAAATTGTTAAAATGCACTTGAAATTTCTTTAGCCAAGTTTTAGCAAATCCAGTCAGATATATATACTGTTATTATATATGTCCTCTTTGAACGTGCTGCCAAGTGCACCGCCTGAAAAACTCTATCCGGAGTTGCTGCCTGACAACTTTCGCTTGTCTCGAATTGGCAACATTGACAAAAAAATTTCTGAAAAAATCGAGAACTACAGAAAAGTTGCCAACAGACCTTCACGCACTACACTGCGGTCGGTTTGGGCTCTCTCGCGGCCGCTCTCTCGACTACTGGCGTCGTCTTGAGCCTTACGGGCCCTGAGATCATTGCCGTTGCCCCTTCCCCTTGGTTAGCCGCCCACACAGGCGTCTTTAGGGAAGTTCGTCTTTCATCCCTCCTCAAAAACGCCTAAAACGCCTGCGTGGGAGGCTACCCCTTGGTGCGGTTGGCGCGTTTTGCGGAGCTGGGTCTGCTTTGCTTACAAACGTTAGCAAAAAACTCGGCCTGAAAGTAACAAAACACGAAAAGCATTACTCACAGACCACTACCAAACACAACTCCATTAACGCCCTTGTTTCCAAAAGTCTCAACGATAACGTTGTCACCGATCGGGAATTTGAGATTGTTAACTCAAATTTGGAAAAATATTTTGAACTAAAAGAGGCTGTTCGTTCCAAACTCAAGCTTTAAAACAAACTCCGATCCCAACTTCGAAAAAATAAAACAGCAACTTCGCAACCAAGTGCGAGATGAATTTCAAAAAAAGATCCTAAGCGCAGAGTGATTTCCCTTCACAAAACCCCAATGGTTTTTTATTTCTTTTTTGAAAAACAATCAAACACTTAAATATATACACACCACTATAATTGATTGCAGTTATATTCTTTGCTTTATCAGATATAATAACCGCTTACTAACCGAGCGTGAGGGCCGTACTGGGGAATATTGGCCCGAGGTCGTGGCAGTACGGACCAAGCGAGCTCCGGTACTGCCACGACCGAGAGCCAATATTCCCCAGTACGGCTCGAGCAACCTCGGTTAGCAAGTTGTTTATTATATGGCCCTCTGTTTCTGATAGTAAAATGTACTTCCGGTGGCTTGCACTTAAAGGGCTTCCGCCGTGACGTATTCGTGATGACGCGAGCAACTCAGACAAAAGTAAGCTACCACGAGTTCGAAAGACAAATTTATTAAATGTGAAATCGTCTAAAATTAGCTTAAACAAAACTTCAAAAACGCTTTGTAACGGAATCTTACAAAGGCAGTTGTTGATTCTAAAATTCGAGAAAGGGTTTTTTGTCCAACAAGCAATATTTTCTTGGTTATAAAATATGGATCAAGTCAGCGTCAATTGAAGCTGTGATAAATAATTCAAAACTGGACAAAGTTGATGAAAAATAGCTTCAAAGTCAATCGTCCTCATCGCTCTCGATAACAATCCGACGCTTCCTGTCATTCTGGACAGTTTTCACATTGCCATGAAATATTTGGAATGTGCACCCGCTGATGGATCCCATGTTTGCACCTGTAAAACCTGGAGCGGTGGAAGACAGTAACGGATCGCTTGACTGATCAATCAATGTATTTGTGGTCGAACTTGCAGCGATGTCTGTAGTTGAGCGAGTTACTACTTCAAACCCTTGATTATGGACACTTGATAAAGCTTCATCTCTTGATCCAGAAAGATCAGCTCTGCTAATGGTCAAGGACATACTCTATTGGCGTTTAGCACTGGCGGACTTGTAGGATTTATAAACTCTTCGAGCTTTTGAGGCCACTCAGTTGGGCTACAAAGTTCTCTGGAACATCAGCATCAAGGAGCCTCGAAATACAGGTTTTCCTGACAAAATGATTAGTTACTTTTTTCCCCTCTTTATAAAGGCCAGCATTCTTCGCTGCAGTGGACAGAAACTTTCCTATTTCATTTTTTCGAGGGGTGCCTTCATATAAAACTTCTTCATTTGATCGTCGATTATGCCGGACCGCCAAGTGAAATGATCATTCTGGTGCGTTCATTTTGCACTGGCCGGTGACTGCGGAATTTTTTGTAAAAACTTCCAGGACATCTCGTTGTATTGGTGAAAAAAAGGGCATCCTCTTCGTCTTCGTCGATAGTGTGAGCAGCTTGCGGTTTGTTTCCTTTGCGTGGTCGTGAACAAGTGACTTTCGCTTCGCTGCAAGGACTTTTCTGGATTTTTCGAACTCATTGTCCTTGAGTAGGTTAAATGGATATTTCTTCTCACTTAAGTATCGCTGTATACTGCGCTTAAAAAAGGTGGTCAAGCTCGGGCGCAGGTAAGCTTTCAATTTTCTCATTTTTCATACTATTAGCTTCCATGTAGCGGAGAAGAGTTTTCATATCAGTAGCCGTCTTCTTGTTTGTGTTTGCACTTTTCTGTTGGTTGATAAAATCGTCTATGGCCTCCCTGCTTTCGGTGATGCCTGTTTCAGTTTCTGCATCAAAAGTTTCCAGATCTTCAGGATAATAAAACTGTTCGTCTTCTTTATCCATCTTTGAAACTTCGGAAAAATTACAATTTTTTTAGCTTTTTCTGGTAGTTTCGCTGTGAAGAATGGCAATATTCACATTTTTTTTTTCGCTGTTTTAGTTGAAAATTTTGAATTTGCCGGCTTTGCTCCAAAACGAAAATACACGGGTTGGACCGTTTCCATGGAAACGGTCCGTACTGCAAAATCCTGACCGAGGAAGAACCAATCAAAGCACAGGGATTTGACTGGCTTTGCCACATAATAAGATTTTATCACACCTGAATGGCAAAAAGATGTGCGATCTATTGCACGAGAGACCGTTTTAGCTTTGGAAGAAGCAAAAAAACTTTCTTCTGCAAAGATGAGAAAAGGAAAATATGTCCCCTCAATGCCAAAAATGCGCAAAGAAGAAAACAAAATGCTTTTTCCCAAATCATGAAATGTACCACGTTTGCGCTGTAAAAATGCGAATTGCCCCTTGTGAAGTTGAAACGTTTTGCCCAAAATGCGGCTTGATCAAAGAAAATGTTTTTTTTTTTCACAACCCTTGTTAGACAAAAAGCAAAAATCAAAAAGAGCATTACTTGCTCAGAAGGGTCAAATATTATTTACAACGTATAACGCAAAGTTTTTAATCTTGGTATTTATTAATTGAGCAGGTTGTTGTGGTCTTTCACGCTTTGAATGAATTCGCCGATTTTGACAAAAAACAAAATACAGCTTTTACATTTCAATAATTATTGATTTTGTCACTTTTGGCAAAACATCAGAACAACGACCGCAAATACACAAGGGAACGTAAAAGTGGACAACGCGTTGTCCACTTTTTCTTGCGACTGCAAAGACACACACACACACCAAAAAAGCAAAAGAAAAAAAAACACGGATATTTTGTTCAATGATAGAGTCGTTCGCTCCCTTAAAACTAACATCGCTGTGTTGAGAACGCGGCACTACCATAAGCCTTGGAAAACATGGCCGCCATTTATAAAAGTTGTTTTGCTCCAAAAATACGCCAAACCATATCATCCGAGCAAAACAAATGCTCAATAAGGAGACAGTTTTCATTTGCGATGCCACAAAAAAGGCTGAGTGATATAAACAGGAAAAACCAAAAAATCAGAAAATTTGGTCTATCGCTCGTATGAGGTAAGAGGAAACGATCGGCTTGCTCGCTTTGTTGTCAATCCCAACTGACGTACATTTAGGGCGAAAAAATGTTCTGCGTGAGCTTCTGCGCATCCCTTATCGCAGGCTCAAGGCGGGCTTTTCTGTGTGTTGACTGTGTTCGACTGTGTTTTTTTCTCACTGAGAGAGTTCGGACTGAGACTGAATGAAATGAACTAAGTGTGAACGTTTGCTTCCCGAAAAGCCTTTTTACCTTTGTGTGGTTTTTGTTTTTCGTCACTAGTAAATACTTTTTTACATGCCCAGATTTACTACCTTTGCAGAACCAGCTTTATCCTTCTCTTCAGTCAAAGAACCATTTGTGCTCTTAAGGTCATTTCCTTAGTAAAAGAACCTGACATAGATTGTAGATGAAACTTGGTACACTGATGTAACAAGTCAAGAAGATTTTTTAAAAAGTAATAAAAAGTGGGGGTCACGGTGCTTGTTTTGACCTCACAATGCTGACAAATACGGCTATTTAGGACCATTTGACAAAAACCGCTTGCAGCCCAAAACTAGACAAAAAGGAGAGATTTCTTCGATTATGCATGTGGTATCGCACGGAATTTGACTTTAATGTATTATTTATTCACTTACGTACTAGAAAAAAGCCTTTTAATGCCCTTGTTTTTACTTTACGCTCCAAAGTAGAATTAAAATATGACACACGCTATTCGACCACCGTAATTGTACAATTTAGTAATATTGCCAAAAAACTGAACATAGATTTGTGCCAATTTTTTACTTATCGAAAGGAAGCACTGTCCTTATTAAAATCTTGAAATGAAAACTGGGGGTCACCGGGCTCGTTTTTGTGGTAGAGCTGCAGATAGTGCACACCAAATGCATTTTCGTCGAGTTTTGAGGGAGGACTGGTCGAGTTTCAAAATAGCTTGTTATGTGAAAGGGGGAAGAAAGTATTAAGAAATCCGTGTTTACAGAATTTACATCCGGGATGTCACATTTAGGACACAATGTGATAAAGAAAGCGTTCAAATGAAAATCAAAGTGAGTAAGCACAACTTTAGCATCCACTATCGAGGTTCTCCGTGAGGAAGTCGAACTCAGCAACACGCGTGCTACTTCCGCTATGCACATTCCCAACACCTTGTCTCACCTTGGCAAGAAACAACCGCAAGCAAAACTTCCAATAGCGTTTGTCTTCAGTCAACTTAAATTAAGAAACAAGTTTCTGTACGCAAATTTCCTTTTCCCTCGTTGTGAAGTAGAGAACGACAACTGCCGGCAGTGACTTCAAAACAATTGACTCTGCCCATAAACAATTGTTGGAGCTGGATTTGTCTGAGGCGAGCAAAAGAAATACTCTTATGTGGAGTTTTCTGTATTTTCTAGTGACTGGCTGAGTTAAATGTGCTTGAATGAAGACCCTCGCGTGGACCAGTTATTCACTGAGTTAATATATATATTTAGCCAGGGCTAAGAGCGAAGCTGCCATTAATAAATTAATAATTTAAATCAAACAATAAACTTGTAATCCACAAATCAGTTTACTTTATGGCACGCTGGTTCATGTGAGTTTTTAGGGAACGGCTAAGTGATTTTAGAGAAAACTCAGCCACCCCAACCCACCCCTACCCCCCCTTCTCTGAGAAAAATAATTTGAAAACAGTCCAAGAGTGAAACAAATCTTTCATGGAGTTAATAGCTCGATCACATTTAAGAGCGATCACAGTAGATTAGGCTTAGTGGAAAACAAATCCTTGGAAAACATGCAAATCAGGCCGAATTTTTTTGCGTTTGACGGCAAGTTTACTTTACAAAATTTTGCCAAAAAATCTAGTGGCGTGTAAACCTGAGGCGCTATTTTATCATACAGATCTCGGACAGAACGCAGTACACAATTTTGCAAGACAAATATTACACTCTCATTCAATATTCAGAACGATCGAAGCACGGGCACGCGTGGGCTTTTAGTTATACAATGCGTTAAAAAAATTCAGACGGTTATCCTTTTTCACAGGCGCCAAATTTGCAGTGCGAGCTGTTGTGTTTGAATGAACATTATTACACTTATGATTCAACATGATATTGTTTATTTTTTATCTAATAGTTTTATAACGATGTGCAATCTTAAAAAACGATTGATACGCGTGACATTTTGCTGCAAGCGATGTTCATGAACGTTTGAAAACAAACGGCACAGCGATTAAAATTGCAAGACTTAAGTAAGAGAGACTAAAGAATCAATAAAAGACATGTAATTCGGTGAAACATTTACAGAGAAAACAATTTTCATTCACGAAATGATAGAAGTATTGAAGTGTCTCTAAAAATCCTGAGTCTTTAAGCCTAAAACTTAAGTTTATGTTTTAAGCCGGTAATTATCAATTGTCATATTGTCTCAAATCTAACAAACGTGCATAAACTAGCCGTATAAACTACCTTCGACCTCATAACATTAGATTAAAAAAACATCAAATACAATAATAAATTAGGCTTACCATTAACTAACTAATCAGAGCATAAAAATTGGACGTAGAGCGTGACCAACGGGTGACCATGGTGAGAAAAGTCAAAAGCAACCAGACTGTCTTCTCTGCCTGTAACGGGTAATAGCTGGCTGGATTTTTGCGTCTGTGGTCAGTTTGAAATCAAAATTTTAATAGTGTGGCACATAAACATAACATATTTCATATGAATTTTAAAAAAATAAACTTGAGCCTGCGATCATTTGAAAACTAGTTACTTGTCAGCGGATAACTTCAAAAATACTCAATCTCAATGGTTCGATACCTGAGCCCGCGAGACGATGAGGTGATACTGGTCAGCGGATACACTGTTTTGACAGCTGTCAATTGATCACAACATTGATGGAACATTGATGAGCAATACCTGACTGTGCAATATCAGTTTGTTCCTTGGCTCCCACACTAGCTAGAAAGTGTGAGATTAAACATTGATATACTTGTAGTACGGACGGACGGTCGGGCGGTGTACGGTCACGTGATAACGGGTAGAGTTACTTAGCTATGGTGCTCCTCACGCGCGCGCGCGCGTAGAGCTCTGTTATCAAGCTAGAGGTAAATCATGG